CATCGTTTAAGTAGAACCAGGATTTCAATCCATAATGGATTCGCAAAACTCGGAACTCTGTCAAAATTAGTACCATTGTTGGAGATTAACTTGCTCTTAGAGATCCCCACCAACATTGTCAATGGAGTTGATTGAAAATTCAGGATTTTGCCACGTCCTGTTGAACTCCACCAAGCCATTGATGCCATCGATTCTGTTTTCGAGCTCGGATATTAGATCAAGTACAAACTCAATCTAGTTCGTGTTGGCCTGGACCGGTCGACTGAAGTTGGAGAAAAATAGAGGACGATTTTTGGGAGACCCTCTATAGACAACTTCTCCGTGGGAGAGGAAGATCAATTGATCGAGAAAATCGAGAATTCAGTAAGTAGGTTGGTGAATCGACATGACGACAATGCTGCCGTTCCGTGCGATTCTCTTCAGGACCTTCACCACCGTGAACGGGCTCGTCGAGTCTAGTCCTGATGTCGGTTCGTCCAAAAACAGGATAATAGGGTCGTTAATTATGCCACCCGTTACTCCGAGGTGGCCTTCACCGCCGATTATCGTCTTCACAACGCTTAATTTGGACATCTAATTGGTCAATCAATGCTTGAACTCTCACCTTCTACTTGGAATCTCCCATCGTTCGATGAAGCCAGAACTCAGCCGCGAACATTAGCTGAACAAAAATACACCTGGTTACCATCTAGTAATAAGTTTGATTACCGGTTGAATCACGCGAGAATGACAACTTTATATCCGATTAAGTTCAATTGATAGAGTGTAATGGTTTGTACATGTGCTTAGTGAACTTTGTGTTGGAGTTCTTCAGAATATGAAAGAAACTAAAAGAAACGATGAGAACACCAAATTTTATAGTGATTCACTCTCAATGCAAGAGCTACATCCATTTTGGGAAATTCTCCTCTCTCTTCCTTCTTTTTTCTCTTTTGATTACAAGAAGCTATGTTTCTTATGTTCGTACCAGTCTCTCTCTCTCTCTCTCTCTCGTCCTGTGCACCTAATACATCACACATATTACATAATGAGAAAACTAAGGCAAGTGGTTGCTCTGTGGTTGCTCTCGAGTAGCCTACTGTCCTACTCATCTAGACTTCAGCTCTACAGTGCCTTTCTGACTATTCATCTACCTATTCTACCCATAATTGGGCTCTGTGGCTCCCACGTGATTTCCTATTGGTCTATTTTGGGCGGCCAACAGGCTGGTAATCATTTCTCTAGCCAGTGGCTTTGTTTATACCTGCACATAATCCAGAGTTTTCTCTCTTACCGCCTCAGGGGGTCTTCTTGGAATTTGGGTCAGATAAATGATTGCGTTGCCCTCTCCGCTTTCACTTGGCCTGGATAGCAAGTCCAGACAGAGCATTCGTCCTTGTCGATCCGTGCATGGGATCGACGGCCTACAGGGTTTTGGAACCATCTCTGTCTTAGCCATTTGAATAGTCGACTGCCATCGTTGGCGCTTTGAAACAACTGAACTTCAAAATCTGAAAAGCTGATGCTTCGACTATCGGGGCCTACGGGGGCGAGGTCAACATCGACCTTTAAGCGTTCTTACACAATGGCCACGTGGAGCCTATCTGTCGTCTGACGTGGTAAGATAGATTTTTCCTTATAACATTAGCATTTCTACCACCATGAGCATCGGGGACAACAAGTCGCCTTGCATCACATATGCCGCAAACGATTTTGAAAGCCGAGTGGCGAAGTCCAAAATTTTGCCGTTCAAATCTACGGTTCCTTTTAAGTTCTCTTTCTCAGTTCAGTTTGCTAAACCGTCGAGCAAAGTCATTTTGCATGAGCCGCTTGCACCTAACAGTGTGAGTATTTCGCCATCACACGTTTTGCCGGAGATGTTGTTAAGAATTTTCTTAGTTACCGGCCTGGCATTTCTCGTGAGCAGATTGAAAGATCAATTTCTGACGGAGCTTAACATTGTAAGAGAGAACAAAAGAGAATGGCCGTGTCTCAAGGATTTTAGCACCATCACCGCCGTCGTCGAGCACCACGTCATCGTTCCCTTGTGGAAGCTGTTGGAGGTTGCTGTCTTCCGTTGCTAACAGGGGTTATGCAAAATTTGCTTGTTTAGGGGAAAACAACTTTTTTGGCTATGGAATTTAATCACATAAAATTGGAGAAACAATATATAAAAAGGAGTTTGGAAATGCACGACTTTTTGCAAGTGAAAGGTTGTTGAATTCTACATTAAGAAAAAAAAACCTATGCGAGAAAAGAATTAAGAAATATAGAATAAAACTGAATCCAAAACTGATTTCTTGATCGAAGCACTATCAGTCTATTATACAATGCTTTTAGTTGTTCATGACTAGCATATACATATTTTATCCCCAAATTGGAATGTTTCCGGACAATAATTAATTGTTAAGAAGCATATTTAAGACGGCTAAATCTATGCATCTGATCACTTGCAAATCCGAATATGAGATTAGGTGATTCATGATATTTTTTTTTTAAGCAAAAGAACATTTCATTAATCAACAAACTATGAAGTTTACAAAGAATTCAATACAGAAAATCTAATACAACAAATCAAAATCGATAAATTCATTGGAGTCCCAGTACAGGAATTCATGGTTCGATAATGGACACAATTTAAAGCACTTTTCTTGGCTCATTTAATTCTCCCTCCGCGGTTGGCTCTCCCGAAAGGGTTATACCAAACTTTCTGCAAAGACCGATCTCTAAAAGTTAGTATTTGTCCAGATTAAACTCACTGAAATGAGAAATTTTGCTAAAGATATATAGAAGATAAAAAATAACAAAAAAACCCCACACAAAGTTATAGCTTGGTGAGGGAACACAACCAAAAATAACAAAAAGAACCCAAGTCCACACAAATTTAGCGATTTATAGGAGAAAACAAATACGGAGAGAATGATTGTCTTTATTCCTGAACAACTTAAAAAAAAAAAAGAAAAAACCACCACGGACTCCACCCTTGTGTATCAGTGTCAACGTGATTCTTCTTTGTCAAAAAAAGTGATTTATTTATGGATTGTCTTGTAATTTAATATTAGATTTCAACAACGAGACAAGCAGCAAAAGATAGCTAAAACCTTGAATATATTTTCTGCTCCCCAAATTGCGACCGACATCGGCCACAACTGATTTTATCTAAACATGTACATGTTCAGATGTCAAAGATTTATTTCAAGGCCAATTGGGTATTATTGCCGGAGATTGTCATAAATCTTATTTGGGTTTACCTTAGAACCTGTTTAGTTCGTTGATTTAAGTTTTTAATTCGAATTAATATGTGACTTTATGTGAGAGCATTTTATTGTAATAAAAAAATTAGATGTGTGACAATTTCTGAGAGCTTTTTACTGTAGCAAAACTCGAATCGGTAAAATGAACGGGCTTTAATTTTTGGTTGGGATATGCATGCCTCTTTGGAGATATCAATAAGATATGGTCCTGTGGAATAAGCTTTCGTTTTTGCAGGAGAAATGTTGTGTTTGAAGTTGTTTTTGTTTTTGTTTTTCATGTTTTTCGAGAAAAAAAAAATGAAAACGGGAGAAAAACGGTATTTGACATAATTAAAGATAAAAAACGGAAATAAAAATAATTTTTTGGTTTAGTGTAAAATATGAGAGAAATGAAAAATAACTTTTTGTCATTTTTCATTTTTTGTTTCCGTTTTCTCCTCTCTCAAGTAGAGAAAGAGAGAGGGAGACATTAATGGAATTTTTAATACTGAAAATAATATCTTGATAAAACTACCAAACGCATTTTTAAAAATGATTCATGTTTGAGAATGAAAACGATTTCATTTCCATTTTCATACAAAAAATAAAATTATTTTGAAACGAATTCCAAACGCATCCTTGTTTTTTTCTGTTTCTTTTTTGTTTTTTTTGTTTTTTGTTTTTTTGTTTTTGCCTCCAGTTCTGGAATGGAAATTCCTCTTAAAGCTAAGGTTTAATAATTTCCAACTTATCCTATAAGTGGCTTCAAATTGCCATATTCTCTTTATAACGATATTAAATCTTTGGTGGCTAAAATTTGTATTTTGCTAAGTGTATGGCCTCTAAGGCTGTTCAATATATTGCCATCTTCAAATTGCCGAAAGCTGTTTTTATAAGGGCCGGCCCACGGCCTGCCTGGGCTTAATTATAACGGAAATAGTAGAAAATATGTCAATATAAAAAGCTTAAGAAAATATATATGTCAACTTTTAGTTATAGAAATTAATAGGTCATAACTTATCAAGTTATGGTTCATAACCAGATAAGTTATGGACAAACTTGTTAAGTTATGGTTTATAACCGGATAAGTTATCGACAAAAATGGACAATAACTTGTCAAGTTATAGTTCATAACCAGACAAGTTATGGACAAAAACAGTAATTTAGCCTATTTATTAACTTATGTAAATTATTAGCCTATTAATTTTAATTCATCTCAAATCTTGGCTAATTTTTCTCTTTCTCCCTAATTATAATGGTTTGGGCCGGCCCGTTCTTACAATTCTATCTCTTTACATTATTTTCTTTTCCTAATCTACTCTTATTAAAATAAATATCTAAAATCTGCAATTACCTAAACATTTTTGCTTCTACTCTTTTTTTTTTTTTTCAACTATGACCCTCGTAAATGTTTAATGTATCCCTATATAAACATTTTTGTCACACAATGCTCTGAAATGCCTTCTATCAAAAAAAAAAAAAAAAACTCTGAAATGCCCTTTTTTTTTTATATCTACCCATAAGTGATTTACTATCCAATTTTCTCCATCCAAAAATTTGTTTTCTAAATGTACTCTATGAAACTTTTTTTTTTTTTTTTCAACTACTCATCTATTAAGAAAATAACCAAAAATAATAAAGAAGTACAACTAAATTTGAGACGAAATTTTAGGTTTTCGTTTCCAAAAAAAAAAAAAAAAAAAAACTAATATTTGTTAAATATTTCAATTTTTTTTTATATGCGCACTTTTTTTTTTTTTTTTAAATAAAGAATAAGAATAACTAATTCTAAACCTGATCGTCTACATTTGCTGAGCGCAAACCTCTAACAGAACCGCGACAAAGCGGGCAGTGACGATTACGAACGAGCCACTCATCAACGCAGGCCCTATGAAATCCATGATTGCAACTCACGAATATCCGACACTCGTCTCCATACTTGAAATCCTCCAAGCAAATAGCGCAGTCGCCGCCACTCTCCACCGCCACCGCTGCCGCCTCCGGCTTCTCGATCCGGTACGTGCAAATAATCGAACTGATCATCTCGCTAGGCGGCACAGTAGGACTAGGTTGAGGTTGAGCCGACGGTCGCTGAAGCCTCAGGCGCTGCAGGGCAACTTGTGTCTGCTCCTGATCATGTGCATCGATGCTTACTTTAATGTCGACAATCCCGGAAAGGACTCCGAGGACGATCAGGAGTAAGGGGGCCCATTGAAGAAAGGAACCTTGTACTTCGTGTGTTATATGATCAGGTGGAGATATTGGAGGAGAAACTGGCGAAGGAGAGGGAGAGATCTGCATGGCGTAGTCTTTTCTTTTGATTTGCTTTGTCTCTACGTTTTTGTGAATGTATATATAGCTAGCGAGAGAGTAACTAAGTAGGATATGTATTTATATATGTTATTGGCTTTAAAATTACTAACTCGTATTTCACTAGGATTACAGATTGCTAATTACGGTTCAGGAAAACAACCACCTATAAAATTGAGAGAAAAATCCCTGTTTTAAAGGACTGGATTGAGTCCAGATTGGATTTGATTAGGGATTAAGTTCGAGTTGAGAATATATATATACGTCCTTGATTTTTTTTTTTTTTTTTTAGTTTTGTACTTGCACTTTATTTTATTAATGGTTATCCTTAAAAAGAACAATAAAAAAACTTATTTTGATTAACGGTTATCCTTAAAATAATAATAATAAATAACTTTAGCTACTCTAAACTTTGATATTCAAATTTTGCTATATTTGTAGATCATCCATTAAGCTATTTTTCATCTCCTCTCTACATTTTATGTAAGTGTGCGTCTATTGACACTCCTCATACATTAACTAATACAACTAAATACTAAAATTGGATATATTATATATTCTGTCAAAATTTATACTAAATAACATGTCAAATTTCAACCTAAAAATAACACTGTATTTAAAAGTAGTTTTCATAGCTAAAATTTGATATTGTCATAATAATTTGACACTGAATTGATGGTCTAAAGCTCACGCCCATGCTTGAGACAAATTACTTAATTTCTCTGTTCACAATGAGGGAATCAGGATTTGAATCCAGTGGAGGCACAAGTGAAATATATATATATATATATATTTATTTATTTATTAACTAAACTATATGATAATAAATTCGAGGCAAACGTTTTGTTGTTGTTTTTGTTTTTTGTTTTTGCTTTGATTTTATCTTTTCTAATTAGCAATAATATATTTTTAAGGGAGAGATAACGTTATTGAGTATTATGCGCGCAAGTATGTATGTGATAAATAAATAAAAAATAAACATTAGAACAATATAATCACTTAAGATTGAAAAGTTCATAAATTTTCATATTATTTTGAAAAGCAATAAAATTTTTGATATAAAACTATTGGAAAATAACAAAGGTGCAAAAAATATAAATGAAAAAAAAAACAGAGAGGGTAATCACTATCAAAAGAAGAAAAAAAAATTAGAGTTTTTTCAACAAAAATGAAAAAAAAAAAAGAAAATTATAAAATATGCTAATATGAAAAAGTGAAGAAGAGGACCTCTCTGTAGCAAAAAGGAAGTGGGCCTCTCTACAAACAAGAGTCAAAGCCCTAATCTTTAGAAAAACTCAAGATAAAATAGAGAGTTTTACTTGATCAGTGGGGGCACATACTTTAAAATTACGATAAATAATAGTGTTCTGGACAACAAGTATAGTGGTTTTGTTTCTTTTTACTGAGGGCACGTGCACTTATTGGGTACAAAGTGGATCCATATTCAAATTTTGTTATATTTGTAAATCACTCATTACGCTATTTTCCATCTCCTCCCTACATTTTATGTAAGTGCGTGACACTCCTCATACATTAACTAATACAATTAAATACTAAAATTTAGATATGTTATATATTGTGTCAAAATTTATACTAAATATAACATATGTTAAATTTTACACCTAAAAATAACACTGTAATTAAAAGTAGTTTTCATAGCTAAAATTTGATATTGTCATAATAATTTGACATTGAATTGATGCTCTAAAGCTCATGCGCATGCTTGAGACAAATTACTTAATTTGTCTGCTCATTTGTTAAAGATCATCAATACGTGTAATTCTGTTTACTTATTTGTTATCTGACTATACTTGGGGTTTAAGATTACGTGTATTATGTTTATAATGCCCTCCTTTGTTCTAAGAACCTTCCAATTTTGTGCATAGCAAATGGAAATTGTGGATTTTGGCTTTTTACGATCGCTTATGACAAGCAATTTACAGAAACCTCAATGCTCATAAATGAATGTCTTTTTTTTTTTAAATTGCTTTTGGCGTAAATGCTAACACCAATTATATATTTGATAATAAAAAATATGATATGATATGTTATTTTTATTTGTGTTCTAATATATAATGCTATTTAAAATGCGAAATTTACTTAATTTTTCCACAATCATTAAATTTTAAAGTTGTAAAAATAAATTTTTATTTTAAAAATAAGTAGAAAATGTTAATGGTGCGACGGTTACAAGAGAAAATAAATATCTCAACTAATAGTAATTAAATGTCAAATTTGCTATACACTATATTTAGTGAAAAATTTGTCACGAAGTATAACATATGAGGAATTTAACACACCAAATAGCATTGTCTTAAAGAGTATTTTTTTGCACTTAAATAGTAAATTTATAATTGACAAATCAATTATAAGATTGCATTATAAATGCTCTGAATTGAAGAGCAAAAAAGTTATTTGAGGCTAGCTCAATTAGAGTTTAATAAGTGTTGTGTTGTTTTTGATAAATTGAGTTTTGGTTCAAGTTCCGGCAGTTATTTGTTGAGTTTAAAAAAAAAAAAAAAAAGGACAGAAAACAAATAATCAGAGATCTAATCGATCAACAAATCAATACAAACAGATATACCTCAACTACATATATATTTTGCCTCACCACCTCAACTATTTCCTTTTGTTTTTGCTGCCAAGCAACAACGATAGATAAAAGAGAAATCTGTAAAAGAAACCCCAGGCAACAATAATTAATAAGTACATCCACTTGTTGAGATCAGTGATTCCTTGCTCTTTCAGAACGTCCAAACCAGTTGTTAAACATGTCGAGCTCGTGACATTATAATTAGTCCCCGAACTGGCGCTCAAGCTCCCCAACATCCTCTCCTTCGTGTCGCCGGAAATGTTGCGAAATGGAGTGTCGTCAAACATCTCCGAACCCCTCCGGAAACACTTCGTCGGATCGTCAAATTCGCTTCGCATAAGGGCTTCATAGGGATATTTGATAAGAGAGACATAATGGAACCAAATCCAGTAAGGCGGGATTCGGTTTCGGTTGATGAAGAACCCGCTCAGCAGAAGGAAGTAGGCCGAGACGGCAATGACGACGGTGTATCCGAGTAGAATATGGGGGACTAATCCAGAGACAAATACGGCGAAGGAGTTTCCGGCCCAAAACGAGGCGTAGATTATCAGGAAGTAGAATAGGAAACCGGAGATTCCTCCGGTGAGCCCAACAGCCCAAAACGTCGTCATCGAGAAGGCGAGGGAGAGGATGAAAAGCGGCAGCAGCACAGCAAAAGCATGGGAAAGTACGTACGAGGATCGGCGGTACGCGTTGTAAGCGGTTTCTCTCATGAAGATGAATCGCTCTTGAAGGAAAACCGGGAGGTATTGACAGCTGGAGAAGTAAGTGGAGGATATAGCGAAGGCAAAGAACCCTAACCGTTCTCGTATCCCCTTGGGAGAATCATCAAGCTGCCAATATATGGTGGCGAGTAAGAAACCGGTTGTTAAGATTGTGATCAGCCGAGCGGCGAAAATCTCCGGTGTTCTTCTCGAATTGGTCATCGAACGCTTGTATAGAACCAGCATTTCTGTCCAGAAAGGGTTCGCAAAGGTTTTCTTGACGTTGGAAGTATTAATGTTGTCGGAGACTAATTTTCCTTTGGAGATGCCTAAATTCAATGCTTCTGTAAGCGATGAAACGACGTCAGATTTTTCGGCATCTGCACGTTCGGAACTTTTCCCTGTGTTGTTGAGATCCACCAAGGTACTGATTCCGTTGGTCGAGTCTTCGAGCTCGGAGATCAAATCGAGCATGAACTCGACCGGGTTTGCGTTGTCGGGGATCGGCCGGCCAAATTTGGAGCAAAACAGGGGAAGATTAATTGGCGATCCTCTGTAAACCACTTGTCCTTTGGAGAGGAAGATCAGTTTGTCTAGCAATCCAATTATCCGATAACTCGGTTGGTGTACGGACATCACGACGACGCTACCACCCCGAGCAATGTTCTTCAGGACATTCACCACCGTGAACGCGCTAGTCGAATCGAGCCCCGACGTCGGCTCATCAAGGAAGAGGAGAATCGGGCCGTGGATTATATCAATTCCGATCGAGACACGGCGCCTTTCTCCACCAGAGACACCGCGCCGGCCCTCATCTCCAATTATTGTCTTCGCGGCACTACGGAGGCCTAATTGGTCGATCAGGTCCTGAACTCGAGCCTTCTTCTTCGACTCCTCGAGCGTTCGGGGAAGCCGGAATTCTGCAGCGAAGCCCAGAGTCTCTTCAACTGTAAGCATTGGGAATAACAGGTCGTCCTGCATCACGTAGGCCACGATCGCTTTCCATAACCGAGACTCCAAAACCTCGCCGTTTAAACTCACTGTTCCTTTCAAGCTCTCTTTCTCAATTCGATTGGCTAAGGCGTCGAGCAGCGTCGTTTTTCCCGAGCCGCTGGCGCCTAAGATTGCAAGTATTTCTCCGTCGCGCGCTTCGCCTGAGATGCTGTTTAGTATTGTCCTTTTTTCCGGCTCGGCGGTTCTTCTCGCGATCAACGACGAAAATGTAAACTTTGGACGAACCTTGACGCTGTATGTGAGGTTATTGAAACAGAGAAGAAACGACAACGGCTTGATCGGCTTCTGGCTTCTTTCATCGACGTTTAGCACGTGGTGTTCTGAGGTTCCGACTCCGGCACCGGCGCGGGTTATCTCCTCTTCTCGTACGTCTTCCATTTTATGGTATATGAAAAGGCTTGTTTGTTTTAGACATTACGAGATTTGCCTTGCTTTTAATATATTTGCCCACTGCATGTAAACGATCGAATCAAGAAAAAGACAATGAACGTTACTTCTGAGTTTGAAAGTGTTGCATTTTGTCAATGGAATTTGTTATCGAAGTTGATCCTTTGAAGGGGAAAAAGAAAAGGCTTCGCAATCACAATATAATAATAATAATAATAATAATAGTAATAATAGTAATAATAATGATTATGATGATAATAAATTATGGGTTCTTCAATTATATGTATGCCGTGATTGTGACATTACGATCACAAGTAACCGCATTGCAGTTTTCCCAACAACTAAAGTTTTACTTGGAGAGAATTGAGAATTTTTTTTTTAATAAAAAGCTAATCATACCATATTTGATCAAGCTGGCACCGTATATTATAGTACATTAGTTCGTTAGCTGTATTCCATGATAACGTTGGTATGCAACATGCATATATATATATATATATGTATATATATATTTTCCCCACTATTGTTGTCTCTCCTTAAATTATTTATATATGTCTATCCATGTACCTAAATCCAATATGCATATACAAATATATACACACACACAATCATAAATTAATTATCAACTACATGATCTTATAACCTTTATATTATGATGTAAGACGGTTACAGTGCCAACTAATCGTTGCGTACATGTATACATATATGTTATCTACAAATAAGCCAAAAATGAAATTAATTCATGATTCTAACAAATAACAAATAACTAATACAATATAGAACATACCTTCATTCATGATAACAAACCCATTTAATCAAAGATCAAGCCGATAGATGATCGACTACTCCATTTCACTTAATTAATTTTCTTTCAAGGGTATATGCTCTGATATCTTAATTAATGAGCTATAAATGTTGTCATAAGCGAGAGAGTGTAGTATAACTTCCTTATATAGATATCTAATTATCCCCCCATCCTTAAGAAAACCAATATTATAAGGTATCCAACAAACTTCTCTATAGGACAATAATTACTTGACTCTTTTAATTAAGTGCCACTTACTTTCGTATTAAGTCATAGGTGGGTCATATTATTCCTTATGTAAGGAGGTAACGTATATATAGGAACACTACTACGCGGATATAGCTAGCATTCATAATGTATAACACACTTCGATCGTGTGGCAATACTCTAGCTTAATATGTATCCTACAGCTACAGAAAACAAGAATTCAAATATGCGTAACATTATTTGGATTACTCTAGCAATTCCTTCGTGTGGCGATACATGTTTTACCCCCTCTAGCACACTTCATATTTGTGAAACCGACAAACTGGTGGGAATGTTACATACGTTATAATTTCGTTAAAAACTGAAAAGGCCATTAATTATGGTAATCCACAGTATCGGAATGATGATTTGGATATCAGATCATCAACCTGTATTTCTAGCTAGCCAGGGCCAACGCATGAGGACAACGCCAATTAGAGAGTACGTACGGCGTCTTTACATGACCCTGGGCCCAACGTCAATTAAAGAACCCTACTTGGACCACCGGCGGAATGATAAGGGTTCTGGTCTCTGGCTTTCAATACTTATAAATGCAAATTTTATGGAATCCACCGGAACCTTGCCTATGTAAAAAAAAAATAAATAAATAAATAAAAAGAGAGAGAGAGAGAATAACTATTAGCAAGGAGCATGACTCGAAGTGTCTTAGAAGATACCAACTAGAGATGTCAAATGGGCCAGGCCGTCCATGGACGGCCCGGCCCAACCCGTAATAGTGCTGGGTTCAGCACAGCCCGGTCCGCTACTGTTACGGGCCGTGCTGGCCCATCATGTGTAATGGGCTAGGGCTGGGCCTCGGCTTCTCCGCCCGCGGCCTAGGCCCAGTTCGGCCCGGCCCAGGCCCGCAAAACAGCCTACAAAACGGCCCATTCTAAATGCTACCGTTGGGCCTTCACGAGCCCAATGGTCGGCCCGTCACGGGCCTCCTATTTAGGCTGTGACGGGCCTACTGTTAGGCACGTCACGGGCCGCCCGTTGGACCTGCGAAGGGCCCAACGTTAAGAATCTGAAAATGCTCAAAAAATCCCCTACAAATACCCCTTAATTCCACCCTAAATCCCACACAACAATTCACTCTCAACTTCTCATCTCACTCACTTTCTATCTCTCATCTTATCTCTTTTATTTTGATTCTAAGCTTTTTTCTCGCGATCACTCATTTTCTTGCTATTTCATTTACAAAGTTCACGTTCAATCAATTTCCAGAAAATGGCCACATCAAACTTTCATGATTTCACTGCTCTTCCTGAGCTTGGTGATGAGGCATTTTTTAAGGATGAAATAATGTCTCCCAACCTCACCCCCACTGAACTAGAAAATGCTCCGGTAGATAATGCTTCAGTGCACAATGAGGAAGTTGGAGAACGCAGCAGGGGAAAAAGACCGCGAACTTCTCCGAGATGGCAGCATTTCACCGAGGAGCCTCGACCAAATCCAAAAACAGGTGAAATGGAAATTCGTGCGGTATGTAATTATTGTAAAAAAACACTTTTCTAATAAAAAAGGGTGGGGGTACTAGTCATCTGGATAGACATTAGAAAGTATGTCTACCGTTGCACCAAGGTGGGAGTGTGGACTCCCGTCAACAAATACTATCACTCATATCACAGGGGTTACAAAATTTTACATATGATGCACAACGTGCTCGTGAGGCACTAGCTAAATTTCTAGCTAGTGCCGAATTGCCTCTTTCTTTTACAGATGATGCGGCGTTTGAAGAGTTCATCCAGACGGCCTTCTGCCTACAATTTAAATGGGTAAGTAGAAACACAACTCGTTCTGATTGCATGAAAGTGTTTTATGCAATGAGACAATCTCTTATTGATAATTTTAGGGCTTTTAATGTTACTGTCTCTTGCACTTTTGATCTATGGGAGGGGTGCAATAAAATTGGATATTTATGTGTCACGGTGCAGTATGTTGATGACGAATGGGTTTTACAAAAAAGAATAATTGGTTTTCGTTTATGTCTATATCCTCATAATGCGTCATCTATTTTTAGTACAATAATGGAAATTTTTAGGTTTTATGGGATAGAAGATAAAGTTTTAACTATTACTATTGATAATGCGTCAGCTAACACAGCTACAATTAACATGTTTAAACATAGTTTGAAACCATCGTTTAAGGGGGGGGGGGGGGGGGGTAAAAGGAATTTTTCATCAACGATGTGCATGTCACATAATTAATTTAGTAGTTCAGGCAGGAATTGAACATATTTCATCTAATCTAACAAATATTAGAGAATCATTATCATTCATATCTAATTCTGGAGCTTGGCTTTAAGAATTCAAACAATATTGCAGGAACAGTCAGCTGAGCCCAAGTAAGTTTGCAACTAACGTGAGACATATGTAGAATTCCACCTATTTAATGTTGAAGGCAGCACTCCCCTATTCATAGCTTATCACGATGTACGTAAACAGTAAGAATGATCAACTTTTAATTTTTGATACAGATTGACAGATTGGTGAGTATTTTTTTAAATTTCTTAAAGTTTTTTTACAATGCTACTGAATTACTTTCTGGAGTTTATTATCCTACTGCACATTTAGCTTTACATCAACTGATAACTCTAAGAAATTAGAGTTATCCAATGGTTTTATAGCTCAAAATTGCGTGACCAAGAGTGACTTTTCTAGTTTGTTGTGTGTTTTAATTTAGATTTGTATAGTTTACACTTACTTTGGCTTAATTTCATACTGGTGCTCCTCTTGAAGTGAAAGTTGATGATTTTGAAGTAAAATGAGGTGAAAAATTGACTAAGGCTGTGTGCGCACTTAGCAGGAAATTTCTGGGCTAAATGCTGCGGCATTCTGGCAACATTCTGGGAACAGCTAGCATATGGCTGACGTCAGCGCACTAGCTAGAGAAAGCAGACAAAAAAGGAATCCATGTGAGCTGGCTGAGCATGTGTGATTGTGGTCCACTGTGCACATCATCAAGTGACACCTCAGCCCTTGTGTTGCCCTAGAAGGGAATGTTTTCTTAGGACAAAGTAGCAGCCGCTAGGTAGATATATAGAAAAGAGGAGAGAGACTTGTTTTCCTTAGACAAAACAGACAGAGTATCTCCTCTCCAGAGAGGAAAAAAAGCTTCGTATGAGAGCTGAAGAAGAGAGAAAATACAAAGAGTACCCAGCTTAGAAAAAGAATTAGAAACGTGAGAAGAAGGCAGGAGGTTGAAGGACATTTTGGCCGGACAGAGAGGAATCCAAGATCCAGCTGAAATTCGTTATTTTTCTGTTAGCTTAACTCTCTTTTGTTATTTAGCTACTAATTTAGCTATGGATTATTCTGGAGCTTTGAATCTTGTAAATCTCATTATGAACTAATTTACTTTAGCTAGGTTTGCTAATGGAACCAAGATTGTAAGAATGACAATTTATTTCTGAGATGCTATTAAATTACTATTCATGTTCATTCATGTGAGCTAATGCCTAATTCTATTCTTAAATGGCCATCGATTTTAGGATACAAGATTAAGATTAATACTGGAAGGGTTAGTTTTAATCGGATCTAACATGAATGATGCTTGTTCAATAACCTTGTTTAGTTGTTGATTAGTCGATGGTATATGAATATATTATTCACCTTGCATAACTTAAAGAAACCTGAGCTTAAATCTGCATTCTGAAAGGTAGATTCACATAGGAATATGTTGGAAATGGTTTGAGGAACCTTAGTCGTAATTAATTCGGAAGAACTTTATGCAATAAAGGAGTTTCTGTTAACAGGGGTAGTAAAATGCTACAGCATTCTAGGTAACATTTTAGTCAGACTTGCAATTGAAGGGAAGTTAGCAGACCTAGCTCATTTTCACCACAAAATTACAGCCCATCATTACATTCTTGTTACTGTTAGCCATTTAGATTGCACCGCGTTTGCATCATTTTAGTGAATTTGTGCCACATTCATTCATTACTTGTTTGGTTGAATATATAACTTCCAACATGTATTTTTGGTGATTTAATCTTCGTGGGATCGACACTCTTATTCACTATTTATTACTTGTTTGCGACACTTGCACTTACGAGCATAAATATCACGCAACATCAACTATTTAATATTTTAGAAACATTTTCTTATTATAGGGATACATAACTTTTTGGAAACATAGTTAAGTTAATGGAAAATAAATTTAAAAGTTATTGGTCAAGTTGTCCTATGTTATATGCATTGGTAACCATTTTAGATCCTAGGTACGGAGTAGATGGGACTGACTCATTGATGATTGCTACCGTAGAAAATTTAGGAATAGATATGCAACTAACTATTACTGACACTAAGAGGATGTTAGAAAAGGTTTTTAGTTTGTATGAGGCAAAATACGTCACAGGTAAAAAAGAACAGGAAACTTTGACGTCAACTAGCAGTTCGGGGCCTAAAGAATCATCGTGGAGTCTCTTAAAGAAGAAAGAGAAAACGGCAGGATCGTCATCAACACAAGCCTCTACCGAACTAGTAAAATATTTTGAAGCAAATTTTGTAATCATGATGACAAACTAGACATCTTACAGTGGTGGAAGAGCAATACCGATCATTTTCTAACATTGTCTGTAATAGCTCGTGACATTCTGACAACTCTAGTGTCAACGGTAGCATCAGAGTAAGTATTTAGTGCAAGCAACCGAATTCTTGACGAGAAGAGAATCAGAATGCATCCAGATATCTTGGAGGGGCTAATGTGCGTTAAAGACTGGGAAGATGCCAGAAGACAAAAACAACAATACACAGATGATTCAATGTAAGAATATTTTTCTAACTTAGAAATAACAGAATCTTCTGGAAGCACTTAGGTTTGTAATTTATTATTCCTAGCTATTGCACTCTTTTTTCCTTCGCTAAGGTTTTGTCCCAATCTCCCCACGGGTTTTACTTGGCAAGGTTTTTAACGAGGTAGTCATTTATGTGTACTTATTCTTATTATGTTAATTCAATAAAATTATACTTTTGGGGGCATATGATATATATATATATATATATTTTTTTTTTTTAATTAAATTTTAAAAAAATTCAATTTGTTGGGCTGGCCCGTGAAGGGCCTTGGCCCAAGCCCGGCCCTAACCCTTATGGACTAGGGCCGCGGGCCTAGACCGGGCCTGAGTTTTTCTCCTCAGGCCCGGCCCAGACACGGCCCAGGCCTGTTACGGGCTTAGTGTTGGACGTGCCGTGCCGGCCCAGCACGGCACGTTTGACACCACTAATACCAACTGGTAAAAGTTGTCTAAAATGACTTGAAGTACCTAACAGTTGGTAACCAACTGATATCATAGTGGTTAATAACCGGTGGTTTAAGAGTATATATATACTTGGTATTCTTTCAAAATCTATTGTTGTGACATGGTGTGACATTCTCCGCAAATATTTTTTACTCACTGCATAAGTCATTCCAAGCCATGATTCTACGGCATTCATGCAGAGATCGTATATGTTCTCTCTCAAAAACTAGTCTATATGTTCAACTTTATCGCATAAATAGTCATTGAACTAAAAAGTATCATATGAATGGTCCTTCTTTTAATTTTTGGATAGAGATCACTTAATTAGATGATAGTTTTATACTCGCAAATTCGGTACTTTAATCTTAGCTTTTTGTTGGTTTTTGAGAGTTTAGTGTGAAATTTACGTTTGGTTTTGTTTATTTTGTAGTGTGATACTTTTATCATAGCTTTTCGTTGGTTTTCGAGAATTTATTGTCGAACTTACGGTTGGTTTTGTGTTTGTTTTGTAAGTTAGGAAGATATAGCATTTGGGATTGATTTTGAGTATATTAGAGATAAGAAGAGCGTTAAATGATCATATTCGTGGAAAAGGCGAGCACCACAGCGCTGACACATTGAAGTTGCAATGCTGGAAAAAAGAAAAAAATAAAGTAGTGCATGAAGCCAGTGTTGCGGCGCCAATTTATAATCACGGCCGCGGCGCCAAAAGAGGCAATTTCGACTGATTGTTCAACGTCGCGATGCTGGAGGGTCAAAGGAGATATGCCGAGTAAGCGCCGCGGCACCCATTTGCAAGAGGGCTGAAAAAATTGATTTTGTTTCCAATTATAACTCTACGAACCCAAGTGTATAAATAGAAAAGTTTTTGGTTATTTCTGGACCAGTTTGGCAGCAAAGAATAGAGATAATTCACGTACAACGGATGAGAAGATGAATCACTCAGAGACGGATTTAGGCCATCGATTTTGGAAATATTTTCTTCTTTTCCTCGTTTCCCTTATGTTAAAAACAATGTTTAGGATGTTTTCTTTTACAATTATGTTTAATTTTCAATTTTTAATTTAATCGATATTTATTTTGTATTGCTGAGTGTTATAATCTGTTCTTAATGCTTATGAGTGTCTGGCCAACATTTACATGAATTGGTGTTTAATTTTGAGACTGAGAAGCGATAGTTAAACATGACACTTGGTTATAATGCCGGGATTATATTTTTTTTATTTTTAATGAATCTCAACATGTTAAAATCTTAACATAGATGTAGGGTATGCATATTTGAGGTATAATTATTAATGCTTGAGAAATATTAGTAATTAATTTAGAGAAATCCACTATCAGCAAAGGAATAAATATTAATTGATTGGAAATTAGGAATGTGAGCAGTGATTGATTTGGTGAAATATTAGTAATTATTAAATTTTCATCTCTTTCTATTTACACTTTGCTTTATTTTAATTGTTAAATGTTTTGCTTTTATTTTCATAGAAAATTCTCTCCTTGCGAAATATTCAGATAAAATTAGGGTTAACAACCCCATTTATCACCTATTTTTAGTCAAAGCCAATTTCGATAGTTAAAAACAATCAATCCTCGTAAGACAAAATTCTGTACTCAGAGAAATTTTATTACTTGACAACGATAGCATACATGATACGCTTATACTCGTGAAAAATCATAACAATTGGTTCACTTTAAGAATCAAAAATCATGAAAAGTTCTCAAAATTTATTTTCTGTCTAGAAATAGTCATTATGTTGAAAGTCATACCAAATTTAGACCTTGAACTAAAAAATATACTAAAATTAGTCATTGTGTTAAATAAATATATGGAAACATTAAATTTGAGAAGTTGTATCGAATTTGGTCTCTAAACTAAAAGTGATGGTAATTGCACTAATGCACCTAGAACTTATCACATATTGCACCCTAAACTTTTAAATTTGACATTTAAGACTGCAAGTTTTATAATTCTTGACAATGCAATCAAAATCAATAACTGACTTCAATTTATGTATGGAAACGAGGATCCGGATGCCTATATTTAAAAAGTTAATGTCAATATGTAAACCATTAAGAGTCCAATATGCCAACCAACAAGAAGCTTAGGGTGCATTTTTGTAAACATCTTAGAGGATCTCCGTCCATTAATTGACGTATGTTAGCTATTAGAGCTCAATAGTAAATGTACTTTTTAATGGAGAACACAATTAGAATTCTATTAGAATTAGAGATTTATTTGAGTTTGAATAGTTTTAGGAGTTTGATTATGTACTATTAGGATTTATATGCCTATAAATAGGCCTCTCTATATGTTCATTATTTTCATACTTGATTAATGATATTGAATATTCATATTTTCCCTCTATTATTATCTTATTCTCTCCAATTCCTCCATCTAGATTCTTTTCATTTCCTCTTCCTCTATTGCTCCCTCTTGCTCTTCCTCTCTATCGGTCCTACATCACTTTTATATTTGGGATCCTATATATTTTTCAAAACTAAAAATTTTGGATCCAAGTTGCCAAAATTGATAAATGCAGAGTGCACGAATGAAATTAACTAAAAAAAAGTACCAAAAATTAGTCCCTATGCAGAATACATTGATAGAGATTGTCAAATATGATCGGTAGTAGCTTAAGCCCAGTTCTAAATCACTTTTTAATAATTTTTTGAGTAATAAAGAAAGTATTTTCAGTGGGGATTTTCCAATCCCAACCAAGCCTAAACTAAGATGAGTATGGAGGTAAAAAAAAAAAAAAAAAAAAAAAGGCTTTTATCTTCTAAGGCATGTCTTCCCAAATGAATACCTTTTAACTAACAATTGACTTTGCCTTTGTTTTATGTCCCACTTTTCATGTTGAATGAGTTGAAAAAAGCAAAATATCCTCTACAACATGATTATAAGCAATTGATGTTAAGCAATTGATGTTAGACCCCCCAAACCCAAAAAAAAAAAAGTATGGGGGGAAAAAAAAAAAAAAAAAAAAAAAGGACGCGGTGCGGGAGTGAAGGAAGCATACCCATCCCTGTGTCTCCCATAATATTCCCTATACACAACTGTACATCACCAAAGATACAAGTTGCCAGCTGATTTGCTACTTTGGAAGTTCTCGTCCCAACAGGCTGGCATAGAACCCAAATTAGTAAAGGGTGCACACTAAGTTATATTCATTTATTTATTTATTTTTGGTGTATTATTACTTGTAATTGAGTTGGAGAGTAAAAAAAGTTGCAGGGAATTAATCAACAAATTAATCACACATTCAAATAGGCAGCAGCCTCCCAAAGTGAATCGACCACATATAAGTACATACACATTTTGCAGCTACTTCCTTTTGTTTTTGCTGCCAAGCAACAACGATAGATAAAACAGGAATCTGTAAAAGAAACCCCAGGCAACAATAATCAATAAGTACATCCACTTGTCGAGATCAGTGATTCCTTGCTCTCTCAGAACGTCCAAACCAGTCGTCAAACACGTCGAGCTTGTTACGTTATGATTAGTTCCCGAAATGGCGCTCAAGTTCCCCAACATCCTCGCTTTCACGTCTTCAGAAACGTTGCGAAACGGAGTGTCGTCGAACATCTCTGAACCCCTCCTGAAACACTTGGTCGGATCGTTGAATTCGCTTCGCATTACGGCTTCATAGGGATATTTGATGAGAGAGGCGTAGTGGAACCAAATCCAGAAAGGCGGGATTCGGTTCCGGTGATGAAGAATCCGCTCAGGAGAAGGAAGTAAGCAGAGACGGCGATGACGACGGTGTATCCAAGCAGGAGGTGCGGGACTAATCCCGAGACGAACACGGCAAAGGAGTTTCCGGCCCAAAACGATCCGTAGATGATCAAGAAGCAGAATAGGAAACCTGTGACTCCTCCGGCAAGCCCCACTGTCCAAAATGTTGCGGTCGAGAAGGCGAGCGAGAAGACAAAGAGCGGCAAGAGCACCGCAAAAGCATGAGAAAGTACATAGGAAGATCGGCGGTAAGCATTGTAAGCGGTTTCTCTATGGAAGATGAATCGCTCTTGGAGGAAAACCGGAAGGTATTGACAGCTAGAGAAGTAGGTAGCGGATATCGCGAAGGCGAAGAACCCTAATCGCTCTCTTATCCCCTTGGGAGAATCATCAAGCTGCCAATATATGATGGCGAGTAAGAAACCGGTTGTTAAAATTGTGATCAGCCGGGCGGCAAAAATCTCCGGTGTTCTTCGGGAATTGGTCATCGAACGCTTGTACAGAACTGACATTTCTGTCCAGAAAGGGTTTGCGAAGGTCTTCTTGATGTTGGAAATATTAACGTCGTCGGAGACTAACTTTCCTTTGGAGATACCTAAATTCAATGCTTCCGTAAGAGATAGAATAGTGTCGGATTTTTTGTTTTTAGGACTTTTCCATGTGTTGTTGAGCTCCACCAAACTATTGATTTTGTTGGTTGAGCATTCGAGCTCAGAGATTAAATCAAGCGTGTACTCGGTCGGGTTTGCATTCTCGGGGATTGGCCGTCCGAATTTGGAGCAAAACAGATGGAGATTAGTCGGCGATCCTCTGTAAACAATTTGTCCTTTGGAGAGGAAGATCAATTTATTGAGCAATCCGATAATCCGGTAACTCGGTTGGTGTATGGCCATTACGACGACGCTCCCACTCTGAGCAATGTTCTTCAGGACGTTCACCACCATGAACGCGCTTGTCGAGTCGAGCCCAGACGTGGGCCCGTCAAGGAAGAGAAGAATCGGGTCATGGATTATGTCGATTCCAATCGAGACGCGTCGTCTTTCTCCGCCAGAGACGCCACGGCGGCCCTCATCGCCGATTATCGTCTGCGCGGCGCCTCGGAGGCCTAATTGATCGATCAGCGCCTGAACTCGCACCTTCTTCTTCGACTCCCCGAGCATCTTGGGAAGCCGAAAGTCCGCTGCAAAGGCTAACGTCTCCTCCACTGTCAGCGTCGGGAATAACAGGTCGTCCTGCATCACGTAGGCCGTGATCACTTTCGATAACCTAGACTCCAAAACCTCGCCGTTTAAACTCACTCTTCCTTTCAAGCTCTCTTTCTCAATTCGATTGGCTAAGGCGTCGAGCAGCGTCGATTTTCCGGAGCCGCTCGCACCTAAGATTGCGAGTATTTCGCCGTCGCACGCCTCACCGGAGATGTCCTTTAGGATTGTCTTCATTTCAGGCTCAGCGGGTCTTGCCAGCACGGAAGAAAATGTCAACTTCTGACGAACCTTGACGCTGTATGTGAGATTAGTGAAACAGAGAAGAAACAACAATGGCTTCGGATCGAGGCTTGCGTCATTGATGTTTAGCACACGGTGCGGCGACGTTTCGTTTCCGTCGCCGGCGATCTCCTCTTCTCGCACGTCTTCCATTTTGTTGAAGATCAAAAGGCTTGTTTGTTTAAGGCATTACGAGAAATTTCCCTTGCTCTGAATATAGTTTCCCAAAAGACAATGAACGAAACTTCTGAATTTGAAAGTGTATTGTTTTGTCGATGGAATTTGCTATCGAAATGGACCATTTGAAGGGAAAAAGAAAAGCTTCACTATTAAAATAAAAAGAATAGTTTCTTCAATAATGGCGCCCTGATTATTTTCAAGTGAAAAAAATAGTTAATAATGATGCCATGATTGTAACTTTACGATCACACTTAAGCGTGTTTTTGTAGTTTCTCGAATAATATAATGAACATTAAGTGGAGATATTTGGAAAATTCTAATCCAAGCGTACTTTGATCACGTTTCGCGCACCATGTTACTATAATACGCTATGTTCGTTGGTCCTAATATTCCATGATCACGTGGTTATGCAACATGCATATTAGATAATTATATTGTTTCCAAATTTGTCATCTCTTCTTAAATTATTGATTGCAAAGATATGCCTATGCATGACTAAATCTATATGCACATACAAATATAAGTATATATACATATTCCGATAAATTATTTAGGGGATATTTGTTTCCTATATTCATCTCTGATTCTGAATTATGATTCATGGTTTTCTACAGTGTTTTCTCTCATAAAAAAATACACGTAAAACGAGAATAATTCAGAATCATAATTCTGACTACATAAACCAAATGTCTTCTTATTTACATGACCCCACAGCCTTCTAGTGCTATGAGTAACAGTTATAATGTCATTGTCTTTCTCGTGATCCTACGTGATTGAAGTCTCAATTGGACTTATGCTGTAGAAACTCTAGTGGGTGGTTTAACAAAAATTAAAAACAGCTGTTCTGATGAGTGGTTTTGCAACGTGATATTTACTTAACTACTCCAACAAGATTTTGTACTGCTTGCAAAACTTAAATTATTTAAACGAGAAACTAACTAGTCGTGAGTGGATTATAAATATATGTACAAATATGATCATATAATGTTCGAAAGTGAATTTTGGGCTTGTTTGAATTAAAGGTGGATTCAAAACAGTTGGTTAGAAGCAGTTAAAAGTGCAGCTTACTTGTTATAACCGACTTTATTACTAGGCAACCAATAAATAAAAAGTCTATTGGTTAAGTGTCAATTTATTTGTATGGTAAACTTTACCTTTTGAGATGGTTGCTCTGAAATTTTACCCTTTTGACTACGCACTACCCCCTTCACTCCTTACTCACTCACTATCCTTCTCACAATGGACCAATATTTGTGATCTAAATATCAAATGGATACTATTTAAAAGGATATTTGTCTCTTTTTTTCCGTTATAAATTGGTATCTTATAATTAGAAGATTATTGTTTTGATCTAGCATTGTATCTTGATCCTTTGACTATCTACTACATGGGTGACAAAGGAAGAAGCCCGAGAATGATGTATTAAATATGAATGCGTCTATTGAGACGTATTTTTTATTTTTCACACATCATTTTCTAATATTATCAAATTACCCATTAATAAAATATCTTTTAAAAATAATAGTATTTTATAAAAATAAGCATTGCGTACCCCCACCTTTAAATATATTCATATATATTATTGCTTTCTAAAACTTATTGTGCCCTACTTTTCTAAAGAAATAATAGGGATGGATTCAAACGTGAAAGAGTCTCTCCACAAAAAGGTACGTAGTTAATTTTTTTTAAACAAAATCTTGTTTTTTTTATTCAATTTTCTTATAGTTCTATCATTAATTTTGAAAAGTTCGTGATTGGTTAAAAAAAAAAAAAAAAATTTTGAAGAGGAAAGTTTTTTCCTCTCATTTTGTTACTGATTGTATACTCAAAGATCATAATTCGTACTTGATTGCCTTCACTTGGGTATTATAATTGTCAGTAATTTCTGATCAAGTGAAAGCAATTAAGTAATTATTTAAAAAATAAAAAAGAAAGGAAACGATAATGCTCGCAGCAGACACCGTCGCTTGTTGCTCATTTGTGCTTATAAGAGCGTATCCAAGAAAATTCTCTAAATTTTAACTAAATTTTAGTTATTTGTTATTTTATTTAACAATTTTTTAGTAAGTCAAATTATTTTAATATATTTTTGAATTTAAAATATAAATAACTCTTTTTTAACTTTTACTTTACGTCAAAATAAAGAATAAAATAATAATAAAAAAAACTAGCCAGTCTTGCTAACTATATTTAGCTAGTAGAACATGTTTTAGTTAAAATAACTAACCATTTAGCTAATGATTAGAGTAGAGAAAAACTAAAAAAATAAAATTATTAGTTATTTTGACTAAAAATATAAAATAACTAATTAGAATTATTCTTAACATTACATGGACGGCCATGATACTGTGAATAGCCAAGGAAAAAAAAACAAATAAAATACAGGAGTTTAATTTTTTTTTTAATACAGAGATATTTACATATCCAACAAATGAATTTATTAAAAATGACAAGCAACGATATCCAAGAAACAAGTAAAAAAAAAAGGCTTGGAAAACAAGAACATGAGTGTCAATGACGGTAATTTTAGTACGGCAAACTAGCTCTTTTTGTTTTTTGTTTTTTGCCGAATGAAGTGATTAACAACAACATCATAGAAGAACGAAAAAAATAGAAACCAATGTTCTTAATTAACCCGTATCTCTTCCAACCAAAAAAAAAAAAAAAAACGACACTTCAATTCATATATATGAAAAGATTTAAAAATAAAAAAATAAGTTTGACAAGGTGATTAAAAAAAGAAAAAACAATACAATTCAGTTTAAAGGATTTTTTTTTTTTTTTTTTAGAATGGGTGTAACAAGTAGAATAATGGTGGTTTAAGAATGTTTGTGTGAAAAAAAGAATTAGGTGTGATTTAGTTGTTGGGACACTTTTGAAATTTTAAGAGGGATATAACAAGTAGAATGAGGGGTGTTTTGAGAATGTGTACGTGAAAAGTAAAAAACAGGGTGTCAATAGATGCATGCACCCATTAAAAATTCTGATCATGTCTTTATCACCTCTCAAGTTAAAGTAATTAGAAAAATAACTTCGAAACTATTTTTTAAGGTACCATTTTGATGCTCAATTTTAACCAGGATCCACTTCCTATTAGTGACGATTCAATTTTGATTTGTGTTCTTCACTGGGAGTAGATCGAAATGTTATATTCATCTACTCAAAGTGTTGAATGAGAAATTAATTCTCAAAGTGCTCCTATGAAACTAAGAAAACCAATGAAAAAACTTCCAAGAAGTTGGTAAAAACTCCATGTCCCACATGAAAAAAAAAGACGAAGTCGTTGTCTCCATTAAGCCATATAAAAGAGACTCTCATTACTCATTTGAGACACACTAGAATTTCATAGTTTTTTTTAAACTCTCATAAATTCTTCTTTTTACTAAACATAAGATTAGAATAAATAATGCTATCCCAATCTGGTATACTAAAAAACGCCAATATGATGTACTAATCAATTTAAAGCCAATTTTTCCGTTTTTGTCTAATTGCCATAACACAGAGCAATTAACAAATGGCCACCTGTAGTGATTGATTAAAAAATACTGCTCCATCCGAAAAATCCAGCCATTTCGATCCTCTACAAGGGGATAGACCACTTGTCGATGTCGGATTGGGGCCTAATCATCCTCTTCCCAGATCTCTGGACGTGCACCTTTGAAAACCCTCGATTCCTCTGCCATGTCCCCTACCGAAGGCATTCTGCCACCGTCCAATCCAAACGTGTCGCCAACAAGAGCCTTCTCGTGCCGTCTCCCTCTAAAAACCCTAGACTCCGCCATCTTTCCCCCTGCTAGGGTATTCCACCACCATCAAAACCGCCGTAATTTTTAGCTTCTTAAATAGTGTCTAATAAACTATGTAAAGTAATTAGATATACCATTTTAGACACCAGAATAATTAGACAAGTACTCTGATTTTGTAACCAACAAACTTCTCTACATGTAATTACTCGAGTCTTTTAATTAAGTACAAACTTTCTCCTCTTCATTTTGCTCTAATACTAACTTTCTTTTGTGTTAATTATTCTTATTACCCATCAGGTGGGTCATATTATTCTTATGTGAGGATGTAACTTACATATATGAATGCTATTACATGGATATAGCTATATAGCACATTTTGTGACTCGTGTAACAATACTTTGCTTAATATATATCCTACACTATAAAAAACAAGAAATAAATATATATAATATTATTTGGATTAATCCAACGTCCTTCATGTGGCTGTACATGTTTTACCCTCTTCATCACACTTCGTTTGTGAAACCGACAAACTGGTCAAACGCTACCATACTAATTTCTTTATACATTATTTATGGTATTGTACATATAGAGTGCGTTTGGATTCGTTTCAAAATAATTTTGTTTTTTATATGAAAATAAAAAATAAAAAATGAAAACGTTTTCAATCTCAGACATAAATTATTTTTAAAAATGTGTTTGATAGTTTTATTAAAAAATTATTTTCAGTATAAAAAAATCAATTAATGTCTTTCTTTTTCTCTCTCTGCTCGAGAGAGGAAAAAATGATTAAAAGTCATTTTTTATTTTGCTCTTATTTTACACTAAATTGAAAATTCATTTTTATTTCCGTTTTTTGTATTTATTTCGCTAAACGCTATTTTGGAAACTTTTTTACTTTTTTTTCTTAAAAAATGTGATCAATTTCAAACATGGCCATAAGGAGAAGGATTTCTTCCACACCCGGATATCATATCAGCGACCTGTATTTCTTGTTGGGGCCGATGCAAAGAGATAAGAAAAGATTGAAGACTAGTCATATATAATATAATATGATATAGTAAAATATTTATTTATATATAATATGATATAGTAAAATATTTATTTATATATATACATAATATATGTCGATCATCTATATATTAATACAATGCGAGATTTAACTCACATTTTACAAATTAAACCTCACCTCATTTTATTTTATGTTGTCCTCAACTCATTTTATTT